CAAGGGCAATTCTTAATTTCTCATTTACTAGTAGAATCTGTTCCTTTCTAATTATCACATATCATTTAGTCCACAGAAGTTTGAGGTGAAACAACATCAGAGTTTTCACCAGGATAGATGCAAATTATACAATGTTTAATACTAACTTGGTGCTGGCATTTCCTTTTGTTTAATTTTTTTATCCAAATTTTCAGAATAAAACTTGTGTGGGACTGCAAAAATTTTGTCCTATCAAGAAGGCCTAGTCAGTGGCATTTTCAGCATCTCCACATTGCAAACTACAGAAATCTGAACTAGATTTTCACAAGTTTACTCAGACATGCAGGAGCAAAGTAGCTGCAATAGCATGAAGTTCAGCTGAAGCGAAATCCAATCTACTGAAAAACTGCCTCAGAAGAAAGGTAATTTAGCCTCTGTGGTGTTCCCTGCTACCATGCCTAGACAGCTCTCAGTGCCATGCTAATTAACTTAAAAATGGCTCACTAGAGGTATCTCTGCACTGTATTCTTCAGGAGCAGTATACTAGTAGCAATATGCAAAAAACACTTTGTTGAATAAAAATGGATATATACAGTGACTTGAGATAGTCTTATACTTATGCTAAATGAGCATCCTCAAAAAGGACAAATCATAAATCTTTCCTGATGTGAATTCTAAATAGACATTAAAGCAGGTTGAAGGAAAGACTCTAGGCGAAACCTTGCCATGTTTAAAATTCATGTGTATGCCAAAAGATTAATTTGATATAAGATATGCAACTATATGTAGGCAGAAACACAACCTTTTTCCTATACATTTTTTTCTTCAATAAAAGCCTGGATTGTGAGAGTGAAGAGAAACTTCAGACAAATTTTCTATTGCAATCTTAGCTTTATATGCAGATTATTTGTTCTAGCAAAATACAGACTCTGTTACCACAGACTAGAATTAGAAACCAGGAATGACACAAAATGTACTAGAAACCTATGGAAGACTGGGTCTACAATTGATGAGACAGAGTAAAGATCAAAACTGAAAGCCATTTTCTACTCCAATGCCCAAAATACAAAAAGCAGAAGAAAGACACTTCCACAAAATATCACCAGTAATAAGAGCTCTCATACAAAGAAGAAAACAGGTGTAGAAGAATTAGGTTAAGTTTTAGAAAAATTATAGTTGGCAGAAAAATAACTGAAAGACATTTCAAGCATCTCTGGGTTTGGAAATAAAAAGTAATTCCAAATGTACATGACAAAGAGTTGTACATATTTTCCTGAAATTCATCTTATTCAGATGTTGATTTGTTCACTTGCTTACTGGTTGTTCTGTTTAGCCATGTCAAACATTCAGGCATGAAAGCATGATGAATTATAATAATGGTGATGAAACTGCAAATAAATTACCTTAAATACATTAAATTGAATCCTTAATTAAAGCTAAATACCTAAGCATATGTAATGCTAAGGATTTGATATCTGCACATGTACTTGAGTGATTTCCTGACAACTGGGTTTTTTTCAGTAGATGCAGGTGTTATAGCTCAGTTTCACCTTTGCGATTCATCATAAGTGTTCATTGAAGTTTTCAGCTTCTTGACCTTTGTTCCTGAACTTGGCTGCTAAATTTCACAGATATGTATTAATACAGAAAATAATTTTAGAAACTTTTATTTACAAATAATTAATATCCATTCTAGAAAGATGTCTACTTTCTCACAGTGATATTGTGATATTATAATATTAATATTATACTAATCTTTTTATATAGAATATTTACATTTTAGGGTACTCGTGTGAAAAATGTTAGGTTGGACAAGTAAATTAAGGAGACAGGAACATATCTTACTCTCTGTATATGTATTGTAACTGAACTATTTTATGCCAAAAGAAAGTAATTTAATGTATTCTGGCATATATGAATGCACAGGAAATTAAACATAAAGTGTCTAGTGATTTTAGAAAAGACAATATTAATTGAAAGAAGGGACAGGAGACCATGTATAAGGGTCTAAAGGAACAAAGGTAGGTTATTTTTCATTCTGTGTAAGGTCTAGCGTAGTTGATTTTTCAAGATAGTCTGCCCGTAAAAAAGAACAATCGCTAATGAGGATGGATGTATCACCTAAGCATGTAAGAAATGGCTGCAGCAAGAAGAGAATTGTGATGCAAGTGGAGAGTTCTTTTTTCTTCAGGTCCCTCTTATATGATTGGCTTTGAAAATGGAGAAAATTTTTTCTACCTTTGTTGAAATGACATTACGGAAACAAATGTTAACCATATTTAAATACTTATATTTTATAGCTTCTTTGTTTTTCCTTTCTTTGTTTCTTTTTATTTGAATTGCATTCCCTTAATACTGGCAGAAAAGAAATCATTTGAAAGAGAGTTAATTTGGTTTAGTTTTAATGAAGACAAGCTAAGAAAGATAAGAAAACTTTTATAGAGGGACAGAGGTTCACTTACTATCTAGGCAATATTATTAGTCACACTGATAGTCAAAGTGTGTGTGTTGTTATAAGTAAGAGATGGGGAAAAGTAATACATATAAGAAAATCATGTTTTTTTCCTTTGGAGAAATCAAGATATACTGGTTTAATATTGAAAGAATTTTCTCTTGTTTCTATACACTCAACAACATAAAAGAATAGACAATTTGGCATTAGTTACAGGTGTTTAGTTTGATGTTCACTAAAAAAATAAACTTTCTGAGCAGGTTAGCATTTTTATCTGGGAACAGCAAACTTGAAAAGGAGTGGGAGGTTAAGCAGTTTAAAGTGTTTCAGGACAGTAGAAGGGTTGTTATCATTTAGAGGATTTATTTTTCTGTCTTAACGATGTAAAGAAACCTTCTTGTCATAAAGCATAGAATATCCTGACTTGGTAAGGACCCACAAGGATCATGGAGTCCAATGCTTAGCCCTGCATAGGACATCCCAAAAATCACACCATGTACCTGAGAGTATTGTCCAAATGCTTCTTGAACTCAGACAGATTTGGTGCTGTGAACATTTCCTTGTAGAGCCTGTTCCAGTGCCCAAACATGCTCTGGGTGAAAAACCTTTTCCTAATATCCAGCCTAAACGTCCCCCAACTCAGCTTCATGCTGTTTTCTTGAGTCCTGTCACTGGTCTCAAGAGTGAAGAGATCAGCACTTGCCCCTCCACTTTCCCTCGTGAGAATGTTGAAGACTGCAATGAGGTCTCCCCTCAGTCTCCTCTTCTTAGGATGAACAAACCAAGAGATCTCAGCAGCTTCTCATAAGGCTTCCCCTTCTTGTTAGAAGTAATACAAGAAAAGAGTAAATATAGGAAATAAAAGTTGTTTAAATTGCTATACTCTTAAATAACAAGAAGTAAGAGCTATATAGAGTGTGATACACTAGAAGAATAAGATTTTTTTAAGCAGCCTAGAATGTGGAAATTATTTATCTACTGAAAATATGCGGCCAAACTGCTCCCTTCTACTCTTGTGTCTAAACAATATTATTTATAGAAAAATTGTTCTTGATATAGTTTTAATCAAAAATACCAATACGGTTAATACTGTTAATTAAAAAGACAAAAGTAATGTGGTGGTAATACAACTTTATAAAGTAATACAACTTTATAAACCTCAGAGGTCATCAGTTTAGTGCTGATTAAAAAAATACTACCTGTCCGCTTCTGGATTTTTTCCTTCAACATTGTCAGAGAAGCTAAGAGAAGTTATAGGTTTTCAATTTACAACCCACAGCAACCTTTTTTTCATTAGAATACTATTCAGTGCATTTATTATCAAGAACTCCACCTGTTTTGAAGTACTGTAGAAAAACAAAATATGTTACTATATTTAGAAGAAAAAAAGGGGGGGATTTTTGTACATTAAAAAAAAAAAAAGAGAAGGTTCAAATGCACATCTACTCATGTTCTGAAGATTTAAATCTGGAGTTTCATGAAAAAGTTCTTCGATTATCTTATCTACTGCTTCCATGAGCCTGTCCTAAATACATCAGCGCATTTTTATTCCAAAGAATTTTCAAGAAACAGGAATAGATCATCGTCTTTACTAAAGGCCAAAGTATATATAATCCCTTTGGGAAAGTCAGAGATACAAGAGAAGTGTTAATTTCCATGCATGCTTTGTAAGAGATTGAGGTTTTCATCATCTATTGTGTGTTGGCATTATGTTGTTTATTTCCCAGTGATAGAAAGAACTGTGAACATGATGCAAAATAAGGAACTGTTGTTAGACTGTGTCTATTCACATGGAATCTTATTAATCTTACACTGTTCAGACAGGACATATCTTTTTGTACTTTTAAATTTTGTGCCATGTTTAGGCATCAGAGCTATGTTGATTTGTAACAGACTAAAATTCATAGTTGTTCTTAATCATATTCATTTCTGTTACTACCAAGGCCACTGTATCAATTTATGATTAATAGAATTAATAGAATTAGATTAATAGAATTAATTTCTCATACCATCCCGTATTCGAGATTAATTTACTGCATGTACATTTAATAGTTTAAAATAACACATATTATAAGGTTTTGGCACTTTAAGAGATGGAAACAGCTGCAAAAAGAAATTGAAAGGTCAAAAGTTTTAGTCAGTTTCCCATCAATTTTTTTTCTTTCTATGTCCTTTTTCTCATTTCGTTTATCCTTGTTCAACTTCTCAAAATTGATCAACACTTTTCTCAACGACTATTCCACCCTCCGCTACATCACTCACCTTTAGAACATGACTTGAGCTTTAGATGAGGACAAAAAGATGAGAGATTGAAGTCTTCCCAGGATCAAAGCCTGGGATATTTGGAATCATAAGAGTTTTCCATATATGATGCAGTGACTTATTGACTCTGCTTCTTTCACCATAGAATTAAAAGCCATCCTTTCCTTCTAACTCAATACCTCTCTGGATCTAGCTGGAAACAGCCCTGAAATAACTTTTCCTCTTGTGTCTTAGTTAAAACCCGGACACATCAGCCCAACAGAATGGGTCTGGAGAAAAAAATGCCTATTCTCAAATCCCAAGGTACCTGATGAAAAGAGGTTTCTTCAAGGTGGATCACTCCACCTTTGGTTTCAAGGAAGTCACAGGAATCATGATCTTCAAAATGATTCTGGACTATGGAAGATTTTGAGTCCACTCCTTCAATTAATCAGGTGAGAGAAAGGACAAAAAGAAGGGAGAAAAAAATACAGACATTAGTTTCCATTAATTACAATATGTAAGACATATTTCTTTCTTTATTTTCTGATAAGGTCCTGTTACTCTTGTGTTTTGGACAGCTACTATTCATTCTACATATTCTTTAAAGTATTTACCACAATGAAGCTTCATTTAGTCCAAACCATCATTACTGTAAACAAAATTAATGAAAACAGTAAATGAATATTGCTCAAGAACTTTAAACATGTTTTTTTGGTTGGGTTCATTCTCACGAGTCCATTCTTTATGGCCATTATCTGCAAGTAATTCTTCTCACAAAGGAAAGGCCTACAGTTGAAAATTATTCAGATGCCAATTGTGAAAAATTAATTCATAGCCTATAATTATGATGATAATGACACCATAAGTAATCATAAATCACCATTATGACTGCATGATCACTGATTATTGTAGCGCTGGGCTTTTGCTTAGTACCCAGTAATATTTTAGGAGCTACGTGGCAAACTGAAAACATTGGCAAAGTAAACTTTACTGCAATGAGGCTGCTAATTTACAATGTAATGTTTCTTGAAATATTATGTTTTCTTGTTTATCTGTTTTTCTGTAAAAGTGTAGTCACATAGGCTGCTTGTGAATAACTCACTCTAAATTATTCAAATATGATAGCATCATACATTCTAAGACGGAACTAATTACAAGGATGGGCTGGAGTCTTCAATAATCTGGAATATTGTTTTTTAATCTAATTCTGCTTCTGAAATAATTACTCAGAATCAATCACTGTCAGGATTATAGCAATAATCAAATTGGAGTTAGAAGCTGTTGATAATATCTCAGAGTCCAATTTCTCCCCACAATAAGGAGATCAAATCAATCCAGCAACTGAGAATTACATTAGGACTATTCTAAATATAGTTTGCATGCATCATTTTACATTTTTTGATCTTGGGTTTATTTTCACTTTATTTGGAATAAATATGTCCATGCCAAACTTTAGACAGTATTTTAAAAATAAACCAAATTATTCTCAATTTATCTGAATAGTGGCTTTTACCGCAAGAACTACAGCATTCTTTCCACTTCCAGTGCTGATTTACGATTCAAAAGGAGGACAACAAAGTAGGTCCCAAATGTTTGTTTCTCCTTGACTCCTGAAAGAACACCAAGACTGTCTGTTAAACCAGTGACTTGCTAAGTATGTAAATATATCTGATAATCTACTGTTACTAAACTTATAACAACTAAGTATTTAGTTATCTTAATTTTTAAAATTACAATGAATAGTCTGTCTTAAAAGGATATAAAAACATTCATTTAGCTTTGAATTTAAACAAAAGGGAAGATTTGGACTGCATTTTCCAAGGTGAATAACAATTAAAGTATGCTTTTGGAAGTAGTCCAACTTAAGGAGAAAAATAATTAAACTTAGTAAACAGAATTGTATTAATGACACCACCTTACTGAAATCAGGCTAGAAGATTGGTGTCATAATTTTCTCTACTTTATTGGTTTGCTGGATTCAGAAGTTAATTCTTCAAGCTCTTTATATACTCTTCCAATGACTTTGTGTCTTCCACTACCTTGTTCTTCTACAAGAAATGAGTTAGCAATTCAGTGCTGCATTATATAGAATCTTGATAAGACAAAGTTATGGAGTCAATTGCAAATCTGCCTGAATTGTGTCAGCTTATTTTTTTGACCAGGGATATTATTGGCAATTTTGCTGACCTCTGCCTAAGTGAAGCACTTATTGTATGTTGTCTCCTCAACAAATGTTTTCTTTCCACATAGAAAAGAGGAGATAAAAAACAGCTGGGAAGGAAAAGGGAAAACAAACAAAATAAAGAGGTGTTCCAAGAAAGAGAACAGAAGTAAAATATGTAGGAGCAGAGGATAAGCTGATACATGTGAAGCACAAAGCTTAATTCTAGGAAAATGGAAAAAGGTATGTATCTGTCAAGTATATAGGCACAAAAAATACCCTGTTATGCCAGTTTTCACAACCCTCAATGCAGTTGCTAGTAGGTATAGTAGCCCTATCATGCACTTTAAAATCTCATCAGGCATCTGACTCCCTTTTATGAAAGTAAACACTTTGAAAGTGCTGTCTAATATCTTAATATAATTTTGAAATTTTTATATTCAAGAAATCACAGAAAATTGCAAAATTATTCAGACCATATGTCAGCCCTATATTCTATAAAATTCTATTGATTGCTTTCCATCCAATTAGTATATTTTTTTATCTGGATTTTAACACATTTATGTAAATAATTTTGTCAACCTAACTAAAAATTGCTTAATCAAAAGAAAGCATCCTGTTTCTGTCAAACGAAACCAACTTTTTGATGAAAATTAAAATTTCCCTTTACATTTAATTGTCCAGAAAAATTGTTGTATTCTTGATAGTGCCTACAATTCACTTCCTCCAGACATGCCAGCAAATATATATATATATATATATATAACGAAGGCATATTTAAATTAGTATATAAATATTACTATTATTATTAGCCTAACTTTAGTTTATATATATAAGATTCTGGAGTAATACACGTAATACTGTGTGACATTCTTACATTTTTAAGGAACATTAAATTGGAAATAAATTTCATTATATTTACCTAATTTTGATGCTACATTATATGGGCAGAGACGCATAAAGGGAGAAATAGGGTTTCAATATAAAAAGAATTGGACTTTTAATATCTACCTAGTTATAAACCCTAGACCTATTTGAAAGTCTGAGATGATGGAAAGTAAGATAGAAGTTAGACTTTAGGCTTTCCAGCTTGTCTTCTGACATTCATTAATTATTAAATCATATCACATTTATGAGAGAAATTTTATATCCTATATAAAACCATTACACATCTTTTCTCAAGGCAAATAGACTTTCACAGAGAGAAGGCTGAATGAATACACAAATGGCAGATGAATTCTTAGGGTTCTTTGAAAAAGTGTGTTTCTAAAAGCAACAAATGTAAAACCTCCAAAATTTACTGGGAAAATATCGTGAGGCTGAAGACCAGTTTTTGCATAATGGACATTACTCAAACTGCCTGAGAGAAGTGTCTTTGACTTCATAATTTCTTTGGTGGCTAGTGCAAGCCATGTGCAAACAAAATTCCCTGCTGAAATCAATGAAAATTTTGTTGCAGACCTCACAAGGGCAACAAGAAGCTCTAATGTTTGTCTTGTTTTTATTTCATTTGTCTCCTCTACTTGTATGTGAGCAAGGATTACTGGTAAAAATCCCAAAGTATATAAAATTTACTTCTCAGGTGTGCTATAACCAGGCTTTTTCTCTAGACCCCCCTCTCATTCTGGCTGGCATGACCCACACTCAGCAAGAACACAAGCAGAACCACAGCACTCAGGCACTTGTCCTGCTGCGTCATGGCAGCAGTGATTCTGATGTTCCTTTCATCCTGTAGTACTAACACCCTGTTACACTGCTGTACCCGCCCAAGGTGTAGGCCATCCAAAGTCACTGGGGCAAAGGACTTTTTGATGACACCATAATAATGAATTGTGATGCCTGGTTCCTTGTGCCTTACACAAGGGTAAACTGATACCTTAACTCATCACCATGTCATCTTGATCTGCCTAATTTGCCCCATCAAACAGCACCAGAAAGTCTTCAGCAGGAAGTATGCAACTTAGTTGTGTGTCTGCACCTTTCATAGCTGTAGACCAGTGTTTGAGCCCTGACCCAGTCAGCATTTTTCACCTGGAATAGAACCGCATTCCCTAAAAGTACAACCCCCTAGGTAGCTGGAAACCACCTCCAGCTGACTGCAGTCTCTCTGAGCTGATGTAAAGCAGCACACTACCAGGAGGCTCTATGCCTTCTTATATTGCTTCTTCACTGACCTCTTACAAAGCAGAAGATTGAAGGAGAGCAAAGAATGATCAGAGCCTGGTTTAACCCTGTTTCCTGTCCCAGGAGATTCAGTGAAGCACACCTGGGAAGGCAGAGAGGCAACAGTACTGCTTGACTCAGTGGGTCTAATTGTCCGCTCTGGGAAGTTAGGCTAAAACAGTAAGAAGAAAGTTATTCAATTCCCACTTTAAGTGTCATCATCTTGTGTCTTAATTCTCAGAAAATAAATATTGTTACTGAGCCAAGCCAGGAATTCATCACATATTTAAAGCAACAGCATTCAAAATGCCAATTCGTAAGTCAAATTATGTTTCTATGGTTTTTGTTTTCTTTAATCATGGCACTCCAGCCATTTTTTCTATCTCAGATGACATTGGAAAGGTTTTGTATCAGTCCAAGAGAGAGAAACATCTCTCTGATGACACCGTAGGTTTGAAACATAGCTTTACCCTCTTAAGTCAGGGTAAAGTTGGAGCTATATCCAAACTAGGAATATTTTGAAGATAACAAATCATAGCCCAGGGCCCAGTTTCTGCAGTGGGTAGGACTTAATCAGGCAGCTGCTTCTGCTGACATCACACATTGCCCATATTGTGCAGGGTTACACATGGCTAGGTACAAATTACAAAGACAGGAGGGAAAGAACTGGCTCCACAGTCACTGTTCCCTTAGAGCTTTTGTTTACTCCTTGAGTAGTACAGCAGGTCAAGCAGAATTTCTTATAAAAAATTTGGTCTAGTTGTCTCCTCAAATTGGGATGATATAAAATAAAACAAAAGGCAAATTCTTCCCCCCATAAATATTCCAATATATGTTCACTTCAAACAAATGCTGTATCAGTAAGGCACCAACATTCTCTTTGAGTTCAACTTATCGCTTTCTGTTATATTGTAGCTGACATTAGAAAAGAATTCACAGTAGAAGTGTCATATAATAAACCAATATGATTGCTCTAGCCACATAAAAACAAAAGATTTTAATTATTTTCTGGAAAAAGGGCCAGTGGAATTGATGTAGATATGTCGATTTTATTGAACACATGAACCTTTTCCCACTGTGAAATTGTTCCAGAAGAGGACTTACTTTCTAAAAATTGTTAAAAAATGGATTGTCTGGAAACAAATTACTGCTAGCTGTGTAGCTAGTACTAATTCAGGGCAAGGGGTGCACTTCAAAACCTTGTGATATGGTCTTAACTTTTTGCAGGTTAAAATGGGAATAATCCTTAGAACTGACAATTTTAATATATGTAACCAAGCAGCTCTGCACTTTATATTTGCATTTGCGTTTCTGCATTGATAACAATAAATACAGGTAACTCTCTGAACACTGGGAGTACTGAATGGTTGGAAAGCATAAAAGAACTTTGCAACAGGTCAACGTTTCATATGCAGCATATGTACAAGGTGTTGAACTTATAAGGCAGTATTCAGGAGAATGAATAAGTTTACACAGACAAGATGTGTTTTCACACTTTCACATCTCAGTGAAAAAGACCCTCTGAGACAATTATTAGCTTGGATCACTGCTTATGGACCCAGGCTGGCTGACATGTCTGTTCCAACATAAGGGTGTCTCTGCTCCTTGCTCATCAGAATTCTTTTTCTAGGATCTGCATGGTCATGGTGTAGATACATTCTCTGTCAATTAGTTTTTCTTTGATTTTGGATACCTGAGCGGTTGCTACCCGGGAACTCAAAAGCCACTCAGGCTTGACAATCTGCACATCTGTGATTGACAATTTCTTACTTTAATCTTCTGTGTGTATGAATGAAACCAACTTTTAAAAGACACAGTAGGCTCTGAATGCAGTAGACCATCTGTGTAAGCCACAAGAGCTGACAACAGCAGAGTACCCCTCCTGCGCTCTGCTTTTTAAATAGGCTCCTTGGGGAATAGCAGCTGAGATTTACAATGTCTCAAAGCAGTCTAAGAATCAAAGAAATGGGATGCCCAATAGCGTGATGGCAAATCCCTTAGGCTTTGGTGTTAGGTAGGATGGAGACGATGGTGATGGTGACAGTACACTAATGAGGACAATGATGCTGTAGGCTGGGTAAGTTACCTAACATTCTTTAATTAAAGGTGTCTAAAGCATATAACTAACTTGTCTTGCCTAATTTATTTTCTGATGGTTCATATTTGGCTATTTACTTCATCCTTCTAAGACTTTTTGTCCCTAACCTTACCTAGACTCTTGAAAATCCACACTAACTCTAATTGTAGCTTGAAATAATTTATGTCCATGTTTTCTACAACCTTGACCTTTCCTCACAACAAAAATCTACATAATATTCGCAAGCTAAACTACACTATTATTCAGTGTTTAGTCAATTTCCAAAGTGTAAAACTCCTCTTTTTAAAAAAACTTTCTTCAGAGCTCATGAATCTCTGAGTCTGAGAAAACGTGATGCATTTGTAACATACCAAATTTTCTGTTTTTCATGGACAGCATGTAAAACTGAGGAAAATCCAGCAGTTCTGACAGAATTTTACTGAGACAACAGAAAACTCAAATTTAAATTAGCAGATGTTATTCTAAGTGTATCAAAACCAAAAAAATGTTTGTATGGACCCCTGCAAAGCAAAACTGTCAAGCTTCACATTGTTTCAAGGCAATACAGTTTGCTGTAATGAAAAACACAGTTAATACTTTCATATTTCCAAGACCCGTCTCACCATATGTTCAAAGATATATTCATTCTCTCCTAATAGTTTTACACTTTCAAAGGACATGGAAGCATATTTTCCTCTAAGTAATGGCAAAATTATACTGTTTCTACCAGATGAAAGAAAGCACATCTGAGGGGCAGAAGAACAAAACACAAAGGCCTAACAAAGAAGCCCATGTGAACCTGTTTGTGTTTCCATATATTTTTTGTCACTGATACTGCAGATCTCAGTGTCACTGTAGTACCATTAGCAAAACTCTCATTTATATATGAAAATAAAGCAAGACTCCTTCTGTTAGCAAACACTGTACTGATTCTCAAAAAACACAATGCATCCAGATATTCAGACACAAGCGTATCTTAATGGAATTGTTAATTAGAATTGTATTTTTTCTTATATCTACTATTCAGAGATGACATGATGGAACAACTTTTTAAGACAGCTTAGAAAGAGGAACAAGAAAGGGCTACATGTGATTTTACCCAAGTTTTATTAGGGTCTTTTTTATTAAAACAACTAGTATGTTGCGTGGAATAAACGCATCTTCAATGAAGCAATACTAATGAAAAAAAGCAAAACAAAAAAAAAAATCTTTGCATTTTACATCAAAATCATTCCTATCATTTTGTAAATACCTTCCATGAACTCATAAGCAATTTAAATTCCTCCATTGCTAAGCTTTCCAAATCTTCCCTTGTTGATTAGGAAGCTATTTCTGATTTCTAGTTTAAATTTATACATTTGTATTCATTTAATTTTCTGAAAGTACTATCCTTCGGCATTTATGACTTTACATTTATTTACTGAATGTATTTATGAAAAATAATAATACCCTTCTCAACTTTTTATTTTTCTAGCCTGAATAAACCAATTCCCTTTAATCTCTTTATAGACGATAAATCTTCCATTTCCTCTGGTTATACAAGGAGTCCTCCTTTGCTCCTGTTTCAGTCTCAATCGATTTTGATAGTTTGTTTTAAACACAGATTGCTTAACAGAAAATTACTGTCTTCCAAACGTGCCCCTACTAAAAGCCTTATAAAGCAGCTACACAGTGCCTGGAATATTTCTCTTGGAAATATCCACACTATGTATTGCAAAAATGCCACCTTTTTCCATAATTGAAGTTTAACTATTATTTTGCTCATTTAGGTTTGTTCTTTCATCACATTAATCTGATTAGCTACTTTTGCTTAAAACAAATGTTATGGTATCCATTTCAACATACACGATCTTGGTACTGATCTGTTATTGCTATCCATCCTTTGAATATGTACTGTATGATAGCCTTGTCTTTCCCCACTGTGGTGGTGAGGCTTGGATTGCTACAAACTCTACTACATCATCAAGCTCATTAAGGAAAATACTGAACAAAGGTTATGAAAAAAACCCAGCACCCAAATAAAATAAGAAGTGGTTGATTCCCTTCCTCTATAATTAGTACCAATGAATTATCCTCTTTCTCTTATCCAGCTTTTTATTGATCACACAATAAACTCTGTGTACCCAACTGTCTTCACTTCAATAATTACTTGTGGGAATTAAAGCGAAAGTATTTCCTTAAACATAGCTGTACAAAGTTAATGAATTTACCATTTCAAAGGAATGAGTTATCTCAATAGGCATTTGTTAGAAATTACCCTTTATAAAACCATTGTAAATTTTAGTTTACGTTCTGTTTATACCTCCCTCCTTTACATAACAGTCTCAAATGTATAAATGCAATGAACAGGTACTTCCTGGACTACCCCTGCACCACACATCCTTTTTCAAAAGTAGATTTATTTGTAGCTTTCAATGTCCTAATTTCAAGTTCCCTCCTAAAAAACAAACGAAAATCATTAGTACTGGATTTGCAA